TACATAATAAAAAACATGATTTTTGAAGAGTTATCTGTTTTGCAAATAAACTCTTCATATATAGATGTAATTGTCATCATATATATAAGCTTTGAGTAATGAAGACTGTAATTATTTCAATTCATACCAGATACCATGGTAATATCTACATTATTACCTAGGAAATTACATGCAATTTCCGTTATTACCTTGTAATTTCCTAAGTAATAATGCAGATATTACCATACCAGCCGTAATATTATGTGGTACCACCACGGTTACTTTACTTCGTGCTATACAGTATTTGCTGTATCATAGTAAAATATACTTTATATATTATGAAGTTATATTTATATTTATTGCACACGCATAGCACAACACGGGGTTATTGTTTTCACTCCTGTCTGAGTTTGTGCCATTCAAGTTGGTAATTGTTATTGTTAAATTAATTTTAACATAGTAGTACCATTACAATTTTGTTTTCACTCCTGTCTGTGTTTGTGCCATTGTGCAATTCTAGCTGTTTATTTTTATTGTATCTGGCCATGTTATTGTTGAATGGAATTTTAATAAATTGTTAAATGAAATGTTTTTATATTGAAATAAAAGGAAATTAGTTTATTAATTTGTCAGTCATATTCTAATTGAGTGTTAAATAGGGGATGTGTGATTGATTACAGCTGTGTGCAATCAGTGCTGTGTGCAATCAACTGTGTGCGTGTCATCAGTGCAGTGGATGATGGGATATGTAGTCCGGGGTGATATGCAACAGTGTGTAGTGCGAGAGTCAATGAAATGGAAAGGGTGACCTCTGATGGCTAGCAGACGGAAGTTCATGGACCGGATACGTGACACATATGAAGAGTTTATTTGAAAAAACCGATAACTCCATTTTTAACAATTCTCACTCAAACTTTAGTTGGGTTATTTTGATTAGGTAAAAAAAAAACCTAATAATTACAGCTAACTAACACAATAAAACACAATAAAAACATGATTACATAATAAAAAACATGATTTTTGAAGAGTTATCTGTTTTGCAAATAAACTCTTCATATATAGATGTAATTGTCATCATATATATAAGCTTTGAGTAATGAAGACTGTAATTATTTCAATTCATACCAGATACCATGGTAATATCTACATTATTACCTAGGAAATTACATGCAATTTCCGTTATTACCTTGTAATTTCCTAAGTAATAATGCAGATATTACCATACCAGCCGTAATATTATGTGGTACCACCACGGTTACTTTACTTCGTGCTATACAGTATTTGCTGTATCATAGTAAAATATACTTTATATATTATGAAGTTATATTTATATTTATTGCACACGCATAGCACAACACGGGGTTATTGTTTTCACTCCTGTCTGAGTTTGTGCCATTCAAGTTGGTAATTGTTATTGTTAAATTAATTTTAACATAGTAGTACCATTACAATTTTGTTTTCACTCCTGTCTGAGTTTGTGCCATTCAAGTTGGTAATTGTTATTGTTAAATTAATTTTAACATAGTAGTACCATTACAATTTTGTTTTCACTCCTGTCTGAGTTTGTGCCATTCAAGTTGGTAATTGTTATTGTTAAATTAATTTTAACATAGTAGTACCATTACAATTTTGTTTTCACTCCTGTCTGTGTTTGTGCCATTGTGCAATTCTAGCTGTTTATTTTTATTGTATCTGGCCATGTTATTGTTGAATGGAATTTTAATAAATTGTTAAATGAAATGTTTTTATATTGAAATAAAAGGAAATTAGTTTATTAATTTGTCAGTCATATTCTAATGAATTAGGCCCTTATTATATGTCCTTGGCTGAACTTTACCATAGTCTAATATTACATTAACATTAAAATTATAATAATAATTTAAAATAGGAATGCTTATCAAAATTTAAATAAAGAACACAAAAAATAACTTTTTCTGCATCAACTAAATCCATAAAGTCAGTCCTGTCACAGCACCGTCAGTTCTGTCACACAGGAAATTATGTTATAAAAATGTAATATTTGAGGAAATATTGATGAATTAATCTCTGTAACTGTGTAGATGAAGGTTGGAGTATATATCCACTACTATGTTTTTGAAAAAATCTCCTATATGTAAAGGCAGATTTTTTACAACTATATGAGAGCCTGGCGGGGTATTCTGTGATTTTGAGTACTACAGTTGACCGAAAAGTTGCTTATATTCCTTATAGAAATTACAAAACCGTGTTAGATACAATCAGGGACATGTGACCAATAAGAAAATGCTATTTGTATCAAAGAAATTCATTAGGAAACCATTCTAACATATACCAATTTGTCTGTGACAGGGCCTGACATTTTAGGTGTGAAATGTGTATAAAAATTTATTTATTTCAATCATAAAAACATGCTGAGATGGCATGATATGTGTTTCATATAGATTAACATGTCCTCCATATGACTGCAGATTTAAGAATACCAGAAACGTACATTTCCGCTTGTAAAAATCTTGGGTGAAAAAAATATCTTATTCTTAAATCTGAACGTTGAGTCATGTGGAGGACATGTCAATCTATATGAAACACATATCGTGCCATCTCAGCATGTTTTTATGA